AGCAGGGCAGAGATCCGGCATGGTCTGCATGCTTAACTATCCTGCCCTCCTGCTTTGCATCCTCCAAGTTGGCTATCATCTCCCCAGGGACAGTTAGCACCAAGCGGCCCAAATGGCATGTAGGTGTCCTGGGACTGCGTGTGAAAGGAAGTTCCGATATGACTGTGCCACCGTGCCTAGAGTAGGGCTTCCCTGCCCCTCCCACTGTTCCTAGTGCTCCACCTCCAGCCAGACCTGTGGTTGCGGGGGGGGGGGGGGGGGGGAGGGTTGGTTGCCATAGAAGATTTTTGCGGGGCTCTCTCAAGTCTCCAAGTCGTGCCTCGGCCAGGTGTTTTCTTGCAGAGCCTGCCTCTTCTCCCCAAGGCAGGCTTGTGGGTTGCAGCTGTGGCAGATGTTCTTGGGCGGGCTGGCCGGCCCTCATTCTGTGGAAGCCAATAGCCCCAGCGGCCTGGGAATTCTGGGCTAATGCTCAACTCTGGCATAGTCCTCTCTTGCTAACCCCTCCAGTCCAGGTCCCTGTGACAGATGCTGGGAACATATGCTGTGAATTAATTCACTCCAGCACAGTCGCAGAGGACCAGCCTGCTCTTCTGTCTGCTCCAGTCACCTTTGCTTTCTGCCTCTCCCAATGCCTGAAGAAAATTCTGATTTCCCCTCCTCCTTGGTCCTCATACCATGTCCAATGGGCTTCACTCCACTCCCACCCCCCACTGTTGAAGGCACTTGTTTTCTAGAGTCTAATAGCATCTAGAGCTGAAAAGGAGCCCAGAATCCCCTGCTCCCAGCTTCTTGTCCCCAGATAGATTATGTCCCAAAATGGATGCATTCATTCTTTTTCATAGGGAAACATATACACACTCTCCTCTCTCTCTCTCTCTCTCTCTCTCTCTCTCTCTCTCTCTCTCTCTCTCTCTCTCTCTCTCTCTCTCTCTCAGGGTTTCAGGAGCCAGACTATCTCATTCTGCTGGTCTTTCCGTCCCTCTAACTCTAATCACTCCTGCTGTGGTGATTCTCAGCATAGAAACATGCAGCTGAATTTTGAGGGTGCGGTTTAAGTGTTCCCTCTAAGAGGGTTGGCAGCCTCTTCCTGGAAAGGACTAAGTAGCATACATCTCAAGCTTTACAGACTCCATAGTCTATGCTGCAACTGAGTTCTGCTCACTTAGCCCCAAAGCAGTCACAGAGCATACGTCAACATATAAAAATGGCTGTGCTCAGGCAAAAACTACAGAATAAGGAGTGGGCTGGCTCGAAGGGTTGGGGCTTACTGACCCCTGATCAAGCAAACCAGTATGCCTCTTATTTTGCAGAGTTCCTCTGTCTCCTCTGCACTTGGGAGCAGAGGCCAGGGGTTCTGCTTCAGGGAGGAATACCCCTCTTCTTTTCTCTACTACCTCATTAGCATCTTGAGGTCAGGCAGGGCCAGGCCTCCTTTGGCTCTGTGCTCCTGGAAGGAACATGGAGCTTGACAGAAATGCAAACAACTCCCAGTGTCAGACTGAAAGCACTTCCAGGCTAGTGGAAACATGTGCCTGCAAACAGAGATGAGTTGAGAGAGAGGAAAAAGAAAGAGAGAAGGAAGGAGAATCCCCCCAGAAGATGCCAGCAGCCACCTTCGAAAGACTCAAGGAGACTTGAAAAAACTAAGAACTGAAGACTGGTGCCCTAAGGCACTGGAAAAACAACAAGAAAATGATGCTCTGGGAAAGTTTGACAGTTTGTGTGTCATATACTCATGCATGGGAGTGAGCAACCTCACTCCCAGGATCCACCTAAGAAAACTGATGGCCTTTCTCCACATGAAGCCGTGTTCAGTCCCCAACTGGAAGCCACCCAAACACCCACCAATGACCAATGAAAAAAGCCAAAGATAGAGAAAAAATGGCATGCAGCAGTAGACATTAGGCCAATGTCTCTCCAGGGAAGCCACCAGACTCAAAACTCTACATACTCTGAAGGAGTCCCAGCAGATGGGCGGTTGCCTAGGGGTGGGGAAGGGAGCAAGACTAACAGCAAGGACACAGGGAGCAGGGCCGCCAGGGAACAGACCTACACTAATGCAGCCAGCTCCCCAAATTTACTAAAATCAACGAATCGAACACTTCCAATAACACATTTGCACAGAGGTCTCCAGCCCAGGGCCCACAGGTCCCACTAACCACTGGCAGAGGCCTTCGCCTATGAGAGCCTTGTTACTATCAGTAGCATAGTGTAATTTGTCTGTGGAGCATGGAGCTGAAACGCTTTGGAGGTTCCTGGGGATCCGTCAAGACAAGCCAGTTTCCAGAGACACAGAGGCCCCTAGTTCCAGTGGCAGGCCTGCCCACACATTTCTCACTGGGGCTCTTCATCAAGAGCTGCAAATTCCAGGGAGTGTTGTGTCACACAAACCTCTTCATACATTCTGTCTGCCCAGCACACTGGGCACACCTGGTCGGCCTAGGATCAGACAGCCACCTCCCGACAGGACAGAGCCCATTGTTCCTGTTCCACACAGCACGAATATCTCTGCTTCTCCAGGCTGAGACATGAATAGCAATAAAAGAAAAAAAAAGAATAAAAATTTCCTATGATGCTAGGAGGCCAGAAGAGGTGGAGAAAGCCTGTGACACACAGAGACCCTGGGCACACAGAAGCAGAGCATCCTGTCTCCCCGATGCTTGACCTCCATAGCCTGACCTCTGATACCCGTCAGCCAGGCCTGGGCCATCCCAGCCTCCTGGCTCTGGGAGGGTCCTCTCCGCTGGACCAGCAGTCTTACTCTTTCCATTGGCTGGTATAGATATAAATACTTTGCTTTGGAATGGATTGCCCCCGGTAAGAGAAGACCACGTGAAAATACTAGATTAACAGAAACGGGTTAATAATTAAGACAGAGCTAGCCGATAAGAAACTAGTAACGGGCCAACAGAATTATATCAAATACAGAGTCTCAGTGTGTTAATTGGGGCTGGCGCGGCGGCGGGACCAGACCAGCGGCAGGAGGAAAAACCTTACTCCTTACAATTGGCTCCTTCAGATCTTTGAGCAAAAGTTATAGCAAATATGAAGCCTTTCCTCATCACACGTTTCTTTCTACTTTATTTTAGAGACAGGGTCTCATGTGTGCTAAACTTGCTATGAAGCAGAGGGTGATCTTGAACTTCTGATCACTCTGTCTCTACCGCCCCAACAGGAGGATTACAGATGTGAGCCACCATGCCTAGCATATGTGGCATGGGGATTGAACCCAGGGCCAGTGCTAGGCCAACACTACCAAATGAGCCACATCCCCAGATGGGCCACCCCATTTTAAATGCCAACGTGTATGCCTGGCCCCATGTGCTCAGGCACACGGAAGGTCCAGTACTGCAAGCCTGAAGGCACTTCAAAATGACAAGAGATGCCTGCTCTGGGACCAGCAAAAGTGGCAGAAAGTTCTAGAGAATGGTGGATTCTGCCCATTCGTTACGTCAGACTGTTTGCCAGCAGAAGGCAACTTGGGAAGGAGAAAAACAGGGATGCCATGCATGTGGTGGAATAAACTGTCGAATGCCAGCACTGTCACTCACTCAGTACTGGACGACCCTGGGCAATCTCTTCCTGTCTCTGAGCTGCAGCCTCAGCATGGATCACATGGGCGAAGCATGTTTTACTGTGTCCCCTAAAGCTGTGGGATGGAAAGCCGGGGAACTGCATGTGCTGGGAGCTCCTCAGCTAGCATACTTGAGCACTCAGTGTGGGCTGGAATTTGTTGCTGTTGTAGGGAAAAGAAAGGAGCCAAGCCCTAGCCATTAGCTGGGGCCAGCTGAAGACCTCCAAGGTTGTTAAGAGCCTGGAGGCCGCTATGGAGTGTGCTAGTAATTAAGGGACTAGAATGCAGCCTTTGTCCTTTGGGTTTCAGAAGGATATAGGCTCAAGAAACGCCAGCCTGGATGAAAACTTCTCAGTGGCCATGGGAATCATTCCAAAGAAGGCCTGTCTGGTGTGACTCTGAAACAGGAGGCAACAGGACCCCAAAGCCACTAAGTCCCTGAGTTTATAATTAACAGACAAGCATCCACTCTGCAGATCAGGAGCCCAGTAGCTCGCCAGGGAAGGGCACTGAAGTCACACAAAAATAACCCCCCAGTGGGTTTTTGATGTGTTGAGCCTCTTTGTTTTTCTGAATTTTAATGAAGAGCTTTCTGAGCAGGAAGGCTCAGCACTCAGCTTCCTACTCTGTGCCAGAGAATGGGCCCTGGCTAGCTACAGCAGCCTTCCTGGGCCTGCGTGGCCAGCACAGACAGCAGGGAAAGGCTCCCCCAGCTCCCCACCAGAGAACTTGGGGTGGGGAGAAAAACTAAAACAGGAGGCTGTTGAGGAGGTGGGTGGGGCTTTGTGCCCATCCCAGCACATTCTGGAACAGGTAGTGAAGTGGGGAACAGAGACTGGCAGTAGTGTGCCAAGAAAGTCAGAGCTTCTGTGGATTTCTTAGGGCCACTAGGATAGGGCCTCCCAATCTGAGCAGCTGGGCGGCTCTGGAGAGCCTCGGGCAGCAGAAAGGAGAGTATAGTCGGAAGAGCCACCCATCCCGCCAAAGCCCTTCACACCCACTCCTCGCTGCTCTGGGAGGGCATAGTGAAGCTAGAGCACACATGTGCAGTTGATGGCCCCAAAGGGCCACTCTGCCAGGTTAGCAGTCTCTAGGTGCCATAGTCCAGGCAGCTGCTGAGGCCTCCTGAAGTGGCAACTGCTTCTAGGGACAGCCATCCTCTCTTCCTCCCTCTTAAACTTCCCCGCATGCTCTTCAGCTATGGAGAGCATGTAGAGTCCTTATCTGATTGTTTAAAAGTCACCTTCCTGCTATACATGCCTGTAATTTCAGCACTTGGGGGTCTGAGTTTGGAGGATCAGAAATTCACAGGGAGTCTGGGCAAACAGCAACAACAAAAACAACAGCAAAAAAGAAAGAAAAAAAAATGCTTTTTATCAATCATGAATCTAGGAGACTAAGGAGGTAGACTGAAAGGAAGAAACACTCACAGAATAAAGCCATTTATTGAATTGGAGCAATCCAATGCGGTCTACTGAAAATAAATATTTTATTACAAAATATTCAGTATAAAAATTCTAAGTTGCTTACAAGCTCCCTTGGTTTTAGACTTCTTGCATTTATTCAAATGCACAGTGATGCTCCTGGGTCAGGTGTACCTGGATGGTCCCACAGGGTCCTCCCTCTCTGCCCGCAGCAGGTCCCACTCCGTGAGGAGCTCTGATGAGACCTCAGTGTACAGATGGTCCCAGTCCCAGCCTACATCATCCTACCAAAATGAAGACTGCTTGGTAAGAGAAAAGCCTTCCCTCCAGTCAGCGGCCAACTTCCCACCTTATCCAGGCCCAGGAAGGCGCAGGCTATGATGGGGGTGGGCTCCCTGGCTGGAGGAGCACTGAGGCTCAGGGCAGGGGTGAGTACTGTACCTCTCGCACTTCATGCTCTGGTGCCAGCACTTTGGTGAGGAGCTTCAGGTCAATTTCTCCATCCTGTGAATGCACAAAAAGCCAGGCTGGACCTTTGAGGGCTTCGGCATCACTTTTACAACTAAGAAGAGGAGCTTGTGTGTGATGGAACTCCCCAAACCGAGACCCCAGAATAACCTTGATCAAAGCACAAAACCCCGAGAGAATGGTATGGCCACTGGGAAGGAGGAGAGACTGTGGTGTCCTCTACACTGGGCCCACAGTGGGGAAAATGACACCAAGAAGGCAGAGCATTTCACAAGGGCAGACAACAACGGGGTGGCCACCAGGTGGCCATCGTGCGCCAAGAGTGCGGCCAGGAAGCAGCTGAGAACCTGGGACAGAAATCTATGACCCATGGAGGCCCAGGTATGCTGTGAGATGGCCAAGGATGTCACCTCCAGCATTTCTAGGCAGGCTTGGGATGTGCAGGAAGTGCATACATCTCTGGAGGAACTGAGCTGGCCCCTCTGGGCAGAAGTGGGTCCACTCACCAAAGTCTGAAAGGCTGAGTACTTCATGAGGTCATTGTCCAAGTCCCGGTAGGTCATCACCCTGTTTACCTGGATGCTGAAAGAAGAGAAATGACAGAGACACAGGCAGTACTGGTTTCAGGAGAGCTCCTGGGTCACCATCTCTAGAACCTTGTGGGCACACAAAATGTCCTAGCAGAGTCTGAAGAACAGAATGGAACCCCTTGCCAGAAAGACCAGAAAGGCTCCCTGCAGATGGCACTGGGAGTGTGTCAGTGTGTATGTCCTGGGATTCCCCACCAACTCCACACCTCGCTTTACCTACCTCGGAGGGGACGCCACCTGCAGTACGAAGTCTTCCTCCTGCACATCTTCCAGATCCGGGATCACGGGAATATCTGCAGGGAGAGGCGGAGCTGTTACTGTCCACAACACCCACAGGGCTCCTGTCTATCGCCCACTGAATGCTTGGTCAGCTTCAACACGCCAGCCCTGGCACCGCAGGCTGTGGCTTCGCAGACACTCAGACAGAGTCCCATATGGAGCTCCATCCATTTCTGAGCCACAGGACTTATCCCAGAATGCACGGAAGGAGCACCTCCTGATGGGCTCGGGTACCTGTGTTTCACCTTTGAGTTAAGGTGACTCTGAAGTAGTCGTCAGGGAAGGGGCGTTGAGGTGGATCTCCATGGAGACATGTAAAGGATGAGAAGAAACTCTCAGCCCTTGGAGAAGCCTTCTATGAGGGTGAGAGTGGAGAGCCAGCGGGCTGGGCACAGTCAGAGACAGAAAGGACACAAGCAGAAGTGACACCCATTCATGATCTACACATGCACCGGCTCCAGAGAGAAGCTGTCTCAGGCAGGATCCCAGCTGCTTGTCCCCGGAGGACACTTAACTCCAGTCACAGGACCTGGCTCCTGACAGCGTCAGAGGTCAGGGTTGCCGTTTTACAGGTCTACTGTGACACTGGCTTAGTGGTCCCATTTTTTTTTTTTTCCTTGCTGTCTTTGGGAGTTCTCTCTTTGAACTCTCCAGACACATTACACACGTGTGCTGAGGTGTAAGACCTCTCCTCCCGCCAATCTAACAATGTCACGCAGACAGGAGAACCAAGAGACGGGCCTGGTACTCCCTTAGGGCAACCTGCTTAAGTGGCCCAAAAGTTTCACTGGCTTGCTTAGGGGTTTTGTTTTACTCAATCAGGACAAAGAAAAGTAATGGTGGGGCAAAAGAGAGGCCATGTGGGGCGAGGCAGTCCTGGGACCCTAAGCCAACTGCAGATAGACAACAAAGAAGAACATTCCGGAGAGGAGGCGTGGGCTTCCATGGGCTGGAAGCAATTTTACTTCCAAAAGAGGCACAAAGTCCACGAACAGCTGGGAAGGCTCCTGCCACTTCCAGCCTATTCATTATTTAGACGTTGCGACTGCTCTAGTCAAGCTAAGCCAGAGTACAGAAATGTCTTTATTATTACTTCCAACTGCAGACTCACAGCACAGACTCACCGTGCCCAGAAACGCAGAGTGAGCAAAGGACGGGGGGGGGGGGGGGGGGCTGAGAAGGGGAATTGTGAGGAGGGCTAAAGAGAAGAAAGTGCCAACAGGAATTGGACAAGAGATACATCCACCAGCCCCCAAGTAATGAGACACATCCCGCAAGCCCTGTCTGTATCTAAAGGGGGCCCTGCGCTTGGATCCTATTATCAGCACAAGGCTTGGAATCCCTAAGATTTCATCCCTGTAACGGATAGAAATCTAGCTTTCTTTTTTCCCTCTCCCACAATCAGTCTAGCATGAGGGTGGGGCTCCCTGGCTAAGAGGGACAGAGAAGCTGGCTATGCCCTGTGCCGTTTACAGAGTGACAGTTTTTGAGCGAGCCAGTCAATGCTCACTGTTGGCTCTCCTTGGCTCTGGAGTCCAGCCTGAGATGAATATTCAGGAGTTGCTGAGAAACAGCCCATGCTGAGTAGGGGCTCAGGATGGGGTCTTCCCCAAGTCCCCTTTCCCTCTACAACTCCAGCATTTGGACCCTGTCAACTTAGCCCAGCCTCCTCAAGCTCAGAGGAACGGCACTTCTGCTCCACTGTCGCTCCCCATGGGCTCTCCTGGTGGGCCCCACTTCCCTCCTCCAAATGTGCACAAGGGAGTGTGGGGCCTGCCCATCTGCGACAGATCAGAGGTCAGCACAGGCCTTGGCAAAAGGCCGCTCAGAGTGGCACTGTTGGGGCTGGCCACACAGTGGGACTCCTCTCTAATTGGAAGCCTGGTGCCCAGTAGAACCCGGTGAACCGCCTGAGTGAGACAGAGCCAGCGATGACAGCCAGGCCAAGACAAGCTGGAACATTCCGGTACAGTGACAGCTTGAGCTATTGCAGGCCATCCAATTCCCCACTCCCAGTGGAACAGGTGGCCACGGAGCAGGTTTTGGGCAAACTTCAAAGAACTTCAAAATTTTAGAGTCTGGATTTACAGTCTCAGACAAGGGCTTGCTTATGTGTTCAGAGGATGCTCTGGGCCATCAGGTTTTACTTTCTTTTCTTCCCTTCCCCTACTCTGATCCCTCTGTCACATATAACATGAGCAAAGCGAGAGAGAGAGAGAGAGAGAGAGAGAGAGAGAGAGAGAGAGAGAGAGAGAGAGAGAAAGAGAGGGGAGAGAGGGAGAGGGGGAAGGGAGAGACAGGGGGAGGGAAAAAGAATATAAACTTTAGAAACATGCTTCTTCAGGGCCAGAGAGATAGCCCAGTGGGTAAAGTGCTTGCCCTGAGGACCAGAGTTCATATCCCCAGCACCCAGGAGGAAGCTGGGTGCGGCAATGTAAGCTGTAACCCAGTGTGGGAGGAAACAAGCAGGTCCTTGGAGTTCACGGACCACCTAGCTTAGCCAATCAGTGAGCTCCAGGTTCAGTGGGAGACTTTGTCTCAAAAACATGGAGAGTGATAAAGGAGGATGCATACACACACCCTCACATACAAACACATATGTACCTCACATACAAACACACATGTACCTCACATACACACACATACCTCACAAACACATATGCTCTCTCTCTCTCTCTCTCTCTCTCTCTCTCTCTCTCACACACACACACACACACACACACACACACGGGTCATAATTTGGCACTTTCAAAACACACCGTCCTAATAGAGATGAGAACAGGGAAGAAGGAAGTCAGTTTGGCTCTGTTGAGAAGTTACCGCTGTTTCATCTTTCTTTGCAGAGCATGAGCGTCCTCTCCCACTGATCTACAGCCCCAGCCAGTGCACCACTGTTTCTAAAAGCCAGTAATGCCTCCTACTTTGTCCTTTTCTCTCACACTATTCCTTGGAAAGCAGTGACGGTGGCGGGGAGGTGAGCAGCAGGCATGCAGAATTCCTCTCCGAAGTCGAGAGCACAAGTCCTGGAGTCAGAAGCCTGGACCCAGGCTCCCTTGCACGCTAACGGTGTGGCCTATGCCATCGCTGCCTCGGTTTCTTCATCTATAAAATGAACGTCATGACTGCTCCTGGCCCTTTGGCCATTGTGAACATCAAATGCAACAATATGAAATGCCAAGCACTACAATTACACTGGGAACTGTTGTAACACGGGGTATGGAGAGAGGCCATGGCCCTGTGCTCACTTCCTCCGTCAGTCCTGCCGGCGATGACCAGGGTTTTAGAAGCGAGCATGGAGGCCAGGTAGGGCTAAGTAGCCCGTGAGAGATGAAGCCCTTAAGGCAACAGAACCAGGCCTCTACCTCCTCTGAGGCTCTCTCAGACCAGGAAGTTTTCTTTTCCGATGTAAGCATCTCACCCACAAAGACAGCTTGCCTCCTTGGTTGGAACACAAGCCCACCCCAGTATCTGCTTTGGAGCCTCAGGCCAGAGTCCTACCATACCTCTCCTTGCCCTGTATACTCCTTCCCTGCCTACGTTAGCTATCTCAGTAAGCTGTACAAGCTGCTTCTCGGCCCCACATGGTGCCTTTTTCAGTCAAACTGTGGGAAATACTGTCCTCCTGTTTGTCCAGCCTGGCCACCCATCTGTCTACCCATCTACCACATATTCATCAGCTCGTTGATCTGAGCACTCACTATGTGAAAGGCATCATGCTAAGTGAAGCCAGTAGCAGCTGCACACAGGCAGGCAGGGCCCTACCTAGTAAGCATAATAAACAGAAACAAATATCCTGCTTACAAATAAGAACACATACTAGGAAGGAAGTTTCCATGAGAAAACAATAGGGAAACCTAATAGTTTTGGTTTTGTGTGTGTGTGTGTTTTTTTCCTAAAGTAAAGTGAAAGTCACATTGTAGGTGCAATGAATTAAAATGGCATAGTGAAGTTTTAGCATGGAAAGTTTGGCTTCTTTCTGCAAGCCCCAGTCCTTTCCTCAGAGGTAATCATTTAACTTTTGTATGGATTTATGGGGCCATGGAGCACACCACAGCGCAGCTGTCCATTAAAAGTGCTGCAATTTCCGTCCTTCTGGACATAGAGCTGTGTCATATTCTTTCAAACAGCCATTTCATATTCTACTACATGAAGGCACCACGATGCGTGTAAGCCAGGCCAGGGAGGAGCTGTTTTAGAATACGGGGCGTGGGGTGAGGAGTTAGGGGAGGTCTGTTGGAGTTGGGGCTAGAGCAGCTGAGTAGAAGGGAAGCAAGAGCAAGCTGACGGGGACAACGTGAAAGGCACTTGGAGGGGATCTACATGTACCCTGAGACCCTGAAGGCCGCTTTGGATGGCTGGAGCATGTGGCCTGAAAGAGACTGGCATTGACTGGGCAGGAGTGCACAGGAGAAGAAGGTACCGGGAGAGGAAGGACATGCACAGCTGCTCAGAAAGCAGCTATGGGTGCTTGCTGTGTACACATCATGGAAACCAGGATAGCATAAGCATACGAAACTGCAAAGGGAGACTCTGCACCAAGGGAATAGTGGAGATGCACGGCCCTGCCTTTGTGATCAACCTTCAACCCCACAGGCAGAGAACTAAAGGCTTCAGATTTTGTCCTTGCATAATTCATTTGTGACCTCGGACAGACCTCACCGTGGTCTACAGGAAGCAGGGTTTACCCCTAGCCCCCCACTCTCGTGGTAAACGAGCTGAGGTCAGAGACATGTGTCCAAATAAATAACAGAAAAATAAAGGGGGGCTGAGCAGAATTGGATCAACAGATGCCCCCAGATGCAAAGTCAAGCACACAGAAGGGCCCAGTCAATCTCCTTTACATGCTTCCAATGGCAGTGTGGGTTGCAATGAGGCCCGAGCTGCCGCAGCAGGTTTTATTCTTCAGGACAACCAAGAGTGGCCCTTGGACACTTCCTGGATTTCAAACTATCATAGCAAAGACTTTGCCTTGCTTGTAAGGGGCAAGGCCTGCTGGGAAACAATGGACGAGTGG